GATTAGTAGCTCTAGAATCAATAATCCAATGTGAAGGAGAAAAGCAATAACTAGAGAACTTACCAAACAAGCCAATAGCAGAAACGGAAGAAGAGAGCAGATTATACCAATTACCAAATTTTGTTTTCATCCATTGATACAAAGGAATCACCTTTAATGCCAAAGTGATATTAGAAGATGGCCCTCTATTACCTGATGCACAAGGCTGAATTTTTTTTGAGCAATCTTAGGTGGTCGAATAGGACAATCTGGAATTATGTGACCATGTTGTTTGTAGTATGTAGAAACGTTCTTCTTACAATTGGATGCAGTTTGTTTCTTATTTCCATGTGCTATAAAGGCAGTGTCAGTTCTAGAATCTACTACTTTTCCATCCAGTCCAGTAGTGTCAAGAGTCTAGTCTCTTCCCTTAGAAATTTCCCCATTACTGAATCTAAGTCTGGAAGAATTTCCCTACTCAAAATATTAAACCTAATTATCCCATACTCAAGTCTAAGCCTCATGAAAAATTGATTCACCTTTCTTTTCTCAAAATGTTTCTAAAGATATTGCACACGCTCAGAAGAATCTGAAGGATCAATATGTAATAATTCATACTCTGCCCATAAGTCCAGAAATCCGACATAATACTCTTGTATCTTTCTGTCCCCTTGACAATAAGCAAATATTTCAAATTCGATATGACATTGTTTAGACATATTTGACTGATGGTAAACTTTCTTTAGATAGGCATACATTTCATATGTTGTTTGCATCCTTCACATAGGCACAGCAATATGGGTCCTCTATAGAACTCAGTATCCAAGATACTGGTTTTCCGTTATCGAGCATCCATTGCTAGTAACTAAGCTTTGGCTTCAGATTCATCTGGTTTAGTAACTTTGCCATTCAGATAACTTTCCAAGCCTTTTCCCTCAACAAAGTAACCAAAGTGGAATTTCCACATGCCGTAATTTGTCCCATCAATTTTCTTCGGGATAACATCAACCTTGTCAGCCATCCTAATGAATTACCACAGTCCAGAAGAGTAACAAATACAAACTCTAGGCCAAAAGAAGAACAAAACAAGGTTGCCACCCAATCAAACCACATTCAAACTGAGCAACAGTGATATGAATAGTCCAACAACACCCAAGAGATCAAAACTCAATAAAAACACCACCCAGGCAAAGGTATTAACAGGTGACAGTCCAAGAAAGGCAAGTTCACTGGACTGTCAACAACGGATGAGGGAAGAAGACCATTCAAATCTAATCCAATCCAAGAACCAACTGTATAAATACTTAAAACTGACCTGGGTGACACAGAATCTGGAGTTTAGTTTCAAGTTGATTGGTGCAGCCAATTAAGAGAAAGAAAGAAAACTTCAATTCTGACTGCAGTTTTCCAGAAAAATCCAGGAAACACCATGCTGAACAGAACAGCTACTTGAGGTCTTCTAACCAGATGAATAACAGTCAATTTAGCTGCCATAAATCTTCTTTCAATCCTCTAATAGCATATTTAATCAAAGGCAGGTTTGTAGGACCTGCTTTGTTACCATGTCAACCCTAGTATAAGCAAGGAGAAACAGTTTCAGGGGTGTCGAGTAAATCAGTCAACCCCACCCCAAAAGGCCTCTTGCATACTAAAGAGAATATATTATGTATAGTTACAAATGTGTCCTTATGGGGCTGAAAGAAAATAAAAGAAAAGAAAACAATAAAGCTGATATATACAGTGTACAACAAGGGCTATCCTAATATGATGTATCAAGTATCTTCACAGGGCCCATGTCCATGAAGCCCATAGATGTTGGGTAGGGCAAAGAACTTGAGTCATATGTCTTTAACCCTTTGAACAGAGACGAGGCTTATGGGCTTTTAAATTACCATGCGACTGACAAGGGAGGGATATTGATGGACGGTAATTCCGGTCCATCATCGTCCTCTCCGTTAAGTTTTTGGCTGAAAGAATTGGAGATGACTGTTAACAGACACCTTTGAGACGATCCTCAGGGAACTTAAGAGGCTAAAATTGAGAAGTCAATAGAGGAGGTTATGGGCGAGTTACAAGATTCTCCTTTTCGCGGCTAATGAGAAAATTAAAATTGATTCTATTTTGGTCATTGCAGATAGAGGGGAAGGTACTAGAAAGAAGTTGGAAAAAGGAAAAGGAAAAGGTAGAAAGGGACTTTAGGAAGGATGTAAATGAAAAGGAGAATAAATCAAGAAAGCAGCAGGAAAAGGATGGATTGGACAAGAGAGCAGATGGAAGGGGAGAAATGGAAGGGATTGGGGATAAAGAAACGAGTATACCAAACAAAAAGGACTTATAGAACGAAACCTATTGATGAGGGCCAAGGTTTAAAATTTAGATATGATATGCCCGATACAGGGTGTATCGTATCGTATCGTATCTTTGAAAAACAGACACAGGATACGCATGGAAATTGGGCGTCTCTTCTTTTTTCATGCATATCGAACCGTATCGGGGGTGTATCGGTAGCGTATCGACAAAAAAAGATACGGCCAAAAACTTAAAAAAGAAAATAAAGGGGGAAAGCAAAATTCTTTTCCCTGAAATAAGCCTTCTTTCACTCTCAAATGACTCTAAAACTCCAAACCTCATTCCTAGAGTGCTAGATTTGCAAAAATTGCAAGAAACAAGTGTTAATAGTTAACTTTTTTGAAGATTTTTCAAATTTTGAAAAAATATGGCAAAAATAGGTAAGTTTTCTCAAGTTTTTGTAATACCTTATGATTTCTCTTTTTTTATTTGAATGTTTAAATTTATGTTGATCTACATTTCTTACATTCAAAATCACAATAATTTTGTGTTATTAGTAGATTTATGAAAATTTCATGAAGATATTTGGGGAAAATATAAATTAACAAAAAATTTAAAAATGTAATTTTTTCTCTGCCTATAAAGACTAAATATGTTTTAGATCTATGGATTTATTTATCATATCCATAGAGCAATTTAAATTTCTTCTTTAATATTTTTTTATTTTTTTTATTTTTAGAATTAAAAAATAAATAATAATTAATTATATTCTATCATTTTATCACAATAATTGAATATATTATAATTCTATGGATGATCTATCATATCCACAAACCAATTGAAATTTCTTCTTTAATAATTATTTTTTTATTTTTTTATTTTTAGAATTAAAAAGTAAATAAATAATTAATTATATTTTATCATTTGATCACAATGATTGAATATATTATAATTCTATGGATGATCTATCATATCCACAAAGTAATTGAAATTTCTTCTTTAATAACTATTTTTTGAATATATTATATAATGTTTATTTATTTTTTATAATTTTTGGAAATAAATAATAAATAATAAATAAATCATTAATTATATTTTCACTTAGAAGTTAATGCATGTTTTATGGATGGATAGGAGATTTGGGTTTTTCCCATCCCATAAAACATTAAGACTTAAGAATTATAATTTATAAATTATAGTTAAGCATAGGATTTTTAATGAAATTATAATTAACTACAATATATTTCTTCATAAAACCATTAAAATATATTAATTTAATGTATATACACCTCATTGAAGTCTTATATTTAGTGTTATTGATGTATTTTTATGATTTATTAAAGTATTTATAGTGTTTCCAAGTGTATCTATGCGTATCTGAGTTTTTCTCCTATACGCTTGCGTATCCAAGGCGTATCCCAATACGTCTCTTAAAATTGCCTTTCCGATACACTTGGCATTTCTGATACTTTGAACCTTGATGAGGGCTTGGAAGCAGAAGAAGAAGAGGAGGAAGATGCAATTATGATGGATGAAACACATGAAATCGAGAGGAAAACTGATTTGGAAATGGTCATTAACAAAAAAGTGGAGGTGAGTAAAACACTGGATTATTTTTCTTGGGGGTGAGGAATTTGCAAGGAACGCCTTCAAAGAAGTGGAAGAAATTTCTGGTAGTGTGTTAGGGGTTCATGAGAAGGACAGTTCAAATCTTGTGGACCAATCTACAATCATTGAAGCAGAGAAGGGTGTGGTTTTGATAGCGGAGCAAGTTTTTAAGATGAATGAAGTTGTAGAACCTAAAAGGATAATGATAATCTTGGGGAGAATAAGAGTTTTGAGGTCATTCCCATCACAGCTAAAAGTTTCATACACCAAAAAAAATAACCGAATTGTGCCAGTCTCGAAGGTTTTTGCTAGATTGAGGGGAGGCTTAGTTCAGGTTGGAGTTAACAAGTTATTGGGGGGAGGGGTAAATTTAGGACAATGTTCTAAAATGTGAGGCGTGATGCAAGGTGTTCCACTACCTAGAGGGATGAAGTGTAGTTCAGAACGTAAAGAGGTGCAAGCCTCTCGAACACAAGGAGGTGTAAACCTCCTTAAGAGGGGGGGTGAGGAGGAAGAAGAAGGAAGATCTCATTTTTCTCTATTTTTAATAAAAATCTTTTATATTAAGAAGAATGAAGATGCATAGCACTCCTTTTCTTTTCTTTCTTTTTCTCCTTTTTTTTCATCTTTTTCTTTCCCTTCCCTTTCTTTTTCTTTTTCTTTTTCTTTTTTTGATAAATTCCTTGTTTTCTTTTTTTCTTTTTCCTGTCTTTTTACATGAGGTGTGCACGAGGTGTACACCTCTAGCATGCCTCATGAAAAAAGCATATGAAGCATATGCCTCATAGGCGTCAGCGCCTCAGGCATATGCCTCAGGGTGTTTTGGGGGCACCTCCAGGCGTACACCTCCCATGCCTTTTAAAACACTGGTTCAGGGGCTTCAGGTGTCGTCTTTCGGTAGGTGGTTTTGTTAGTTTTTAGGGGTTGCTTGGTTGTTTCCTGGTGTTGGGTGATGCTTTGTCACCCTTTTTTTTATCAATACGCTTTGTCAGCCTTTTGTAATCCTTTTCTTTAGTTTAATAAATTTTCCTCTTTATCTTCAAAAAAAAAAAGTGCTGTTGGTATAGTTTATTTCTAACAATACAGAATACCAAGGAAAAAAAAAAAAAGCAGTAGAGACACACCCATCCAGCAGATGCCTTGGAATGTAACCACTTCGAGAGTTTCTTATGCGATGACTTTTTGATATCAAGTGTGGTACCTGGAGGTCTGCAAGGCAATACATGGTTTGACCTAGACACACATCAAAAAAGTGACAGGAAAAAAGATTAAAAAAATATTGTTAGCAGAGAAATAGTTTGAGACGTGATTGAAAAAAGTATATTACCAAGCTTTAATGCATTGATTCAAAGTGAAGGCATATCCATAATCCACTTAAACATGCTAATTCAGGCACTTCAGATTATATATATACACACACACACAGGTAAAACCACAATCACACAGACCAAGTCCAATATGTCCTTATGTACCAAGACCTGTAAAGCATCTTGAAAAAGCATGCCCTACTACAGTTATGTATCATGAACATATTATGTACGAAACAGTTCTGACAATTTTTTAAAGCTTTTTTCTTCTCTCTTAGTTCTAGCAGTGCAATTCTCTTAAATATGGTGTAAGGGTGTAATTATCCTTTCACTGTTATTTTTTTCAGACAATATATATACTAATGAAGTGAGTACTGCCCACTAATAATTTTGGTTGGTGGTGGTTCATTTCTCTTCTCTATTTTTGTCCTTCCTCTCTTATGCTGCTCTCTCCTTATTCCTTATTATTCTTTGCACATGACATAGAAACTCACTAAAGCTATCTCTGAAAATTGATATCCCCCTGAACATGATAGCAACCAGTATAAAAGTTTATTTGTCATATCAGATACACTGCACAAATTCTAAAAACCCAAATCATTGACTATAGTGGACAAATGAGAGTGTCAACCTGGTTGAGCCCATGGTATGACAAGGTCAAATGGGTAGCCTTATGTCATGGAAAATTGGAACCATTATCTTGAAAGGTCACACTACTATTTTCTAGAGCTATAACGTGGGCCCTGCCACCCACAAGACAGCACAGCCCAGAATGGTTCGGGCCATGCCTAGCTCAGCCTGAACCCCTGTGCAATGCAGGAATGGGGTTTTTGAGGCCCAAGGGCCACCACGGCACAGCCCACACAAACATATATTTAATAATATGTATATTTACATATAAATGTAATAATAATTGTATATATATACATATACTAACATATTAGTATGTAAATATATATGTATATATAATAATTATTACATATATATGTATATAAATTTTTATTTGCAATGTTATTATACTATTTTATTCCAATTTTATTGTAATTTTTTTCAATTTCATATTATTATATCATATATAAACAATTGTAAACATCAAAATTCATATTGAATAAAGTTTTAAGATTTTTTTCAATTTCTTGTCTATTTTGTTAATTTATTTTAATTTTTCGTTATTTTTTTAATTTTTCTAAAAAAATGTATCAACTTGTGGCATGGGCCTAGGACCGTGCCGAACTCCCCTCTTGGGGGATTCATGCCAAGCAAGCACGGTCCACTACAGTGCAGGCGACCCGTGAAAGTTTACACCTCTACTATTTTTAGGAGTATCCCACTCAATCTAATAGCCACACAGCACACAAAAAAGAAAAGATTTATTAAAAAGTAAAAGAAAGGGGTTGATTACAATCATTGCCAAGGTGTTAAGATAACACCCAAAACAACACCATTCAGAGTAACACATTGCATCAAAATAAAAAGACAGAAAAAGCAAATGATCTCTCCCCTACTTGAAAGCATTGTTAGCCATCTCCTTCAAACACTTCTTCTTGCTCATTTCTTCCTCATTCAACGCCTCTCATCCTTCATCTACTATGTTCTTCTTTGGTCTCTCTCCCTTCATACTCTTTTCAAAAGCTCTTCTTGCAAACTCCTCCCTGCCCCAGAAAAACAAACCTAAACACTTGCCGACCCTAACATCCTGCCAGCCAAACTCTCAATCTCCACTCCTCCTCTCTTCTCCTTACTAACTAAGAAACCTCACCAAATCCCTTCTCTACATTACAACCACCCTCCTTTTCCTTTTTCCTTTTCCTCTCTTCTACTTTTTCTTATAAACTCTCTTGTATTTGTTTGTAGGACCAGCCCCAACCAGTCCTTTCAATCTTAAAAAAACTTTAGTAATATGAACTATATGAGACTTACTTGAAATCGAGCTTTCTTCAATACCCCCAAATCACCAATGGCTAGGGGTGAGCAAGAAAAACCAAAAAACCAAACCAAACCGAAAAACCGATAGAAACCGAACCGAAAATCCGGTTAATCAAACCGGTCAGTTTGGTTTCAGTTAGGTATTTTTGAAAAACCAAAGGTACCGGTTCGGTTTCAATTAACCAATATAGAAAACCAACGGTTAACTGAACCGACCGGTATACATATATTTCTATATATTTTATTTATACTTATGAATATTATATATATCTTTTATATATATTTTATATATATTTTATATTGTCTATATATTATAAATTAATAAATATGTATTATATATATAAATATATATTTATAATAATATAATATATTATTTATTATTTAAAATATAATATTTTATATATCTATTTCTAGTTTTTTGTTATACAATTAGATTTTTAATAATATATATTATAATTATAAATATAAAAAAACCGAAAAACCGATGAACCAAACTGATAGTTAACCAAATTGGTCAACCGGTTAACCGATCGGCTTTGGTTCGGTTTCGGATACCGTTTTTCCAAAAAACCGGTAATACCGGTTCAATTTCAAAAATAGGCCCACCAAACACCGAACCGTGAGCACCCCTACCAATGGCTCCTTTGTTCACAATTTTTCCCTTCCAACCCAAATCAACTCCATTCCTACCAACTAGGACTTCGATTTTTAAGTATTTCTCATAGTCTTCCGACAAGCCACTCTCACCCTCTTTGCCTGTAAGGCTGCAACCTTTACACAGCAATTGACTTCTAAAATTTTATCTTCACCCCTAATAGAGACGTCCCCTCCTCTCCCTTCCCTTCTTAACACTCCTTTCCCCCTTTAGAACTTCCTCCATTTCTGTCTTCCATTCCTGCCTCATCTTCCTCCCTCCTTCCACCTCTTCTAACCTTGCAGCAACCTGGTCTGTCAAAACTAATCTCCCCCACATGTAATGCTTCAGCTTGAACCTCAACCAAGAAGGAACTAAAACAAATCATGTTTTTTGATGAATAATAATAAGTTTATTGATTCAGAAGCAACTTTAGAGTGAGTTCATACATCATCCCAACGAGAGGCACGAGCTGCAGCCCCTCCTTGAATCTTACAAGTAAACTAGGAAAGAAAAACAAGAATCACAACTGAGCCCAAAATAATTCTTCCCTATTTACCCCTTGCTTAGCTAACACATCTGACAAAGTATTTGCCTGCCAATCAAACAACAACAATACCATATCTGTTTCGGTGTTTCTAATTAGATTTCTTACCATTTCCGTCTTTTCCATCCCTCAAACCTCTCACATTCCAACTGAGAATCTTTATCCCTCTTCCCCTCCCCCCCTCTTTACTCATTCTCGTCCAAATTGTCCTCTTCTTCCTCTTCCTCGTTCCACCCCTTGTTTTTCTCTAGGATTTCTCTTTTTCTCTCCTTCTCTTCTTTCTTCTTCTGCTCAAATTTATCAAACGCAATTTTGGCAAAACCTTCCCCACCCTAGAAGACTAATCCAAGTGATTTCCCAATCTGAACCTCCCTCTCTACCAACTTTTCTATATTAACCTCCCCATCTTGTATTACCTCTGAATCAGTTCGAACAATTTGAGGGGAGTGCACGGTTACCTCCTCTCCTTCCCCCTACCTTGTTTTGTTAACTCCCTCTCTACCAACCAGGTTTTGATGTTTCGCCATGACTCCATTGATTACAATGGATAGACATGTCACAGCATGAACAAACACAAAGTGCTATTTTACAAAAAAACGTGAGCAATAATGCACCACTAGTAAATAATAAGGTAAGATGATTAAATCCACTAGAATAAAGCTCTCAAACCAAGAAGAGGGGCCAGAGAACATGAGTATGTATGTGTCTCTGTGCACATGCAGAGGTAGAAAATAAAAATTATAAATAGGAAAGGATACACCTCTGGTTAATAATAAGATACGATGACTGTATCAAGTAATATATGAGAAAGAGAGAAGGGATAAGAAGCAGAGTATATATTATATATATTACCATAATATGCTTCCAGGCATTGGTAAGTATTTATCTGTCACACTTGTGCGCAAGGCTTGCAAAAGGCATTTGTCTAAAAGCATATCAACTTCTTCACTAGATAGAGCATGTTGTTCCTTCTCACCATTCAATTCTTCAGTGGAAATATCATCAGTTGCCTTCAATCCACTCATTTCTGTGGTTATTTCTTCTATAGGATCTTTAATATCAGTCTGTATTGAGGTAGCAAGCTCTTCTTCTTGATGGATATCTTGGACATCCACCAATTCCCCCTTTTCTGCCTTGTCAGTGCCATTTTGTTCATCACTAGAAGCATTGTTTGCATCTGTACATTTATCAGATGTTTGACAAACCGGTAATAAAGCAGGATCTTGAAGGACAACATCTTCCAAGAATCCTGCATTTGGCACATAATGGCCCTCTGCAGACTCCCTGAAAGAAACATCCACAAAAGTAGAGCACATGTTCAAGTTAGAAAGCCTACTTGAACAACTTAGTCCAAAAACCAAAATCAACTTCCACCCTATACTTGCCAAAGTGAATCCCTATAGTAATGTGTTATACGCAAAGCCTTTCCTCTTAAACCAACTTTTAATGCTTCTACACTGCTCATGGTAGTAGACCCAACCTGCACAAGGTTTGCTCTATATTCAAAAAAGGAACCCAAACAATGTGTACATATCTGGTTAACATTGCGAATTATAAATCTGGTAACGACAGCAACAATGCTTTCAACTGTTGGAGAACTGAAGCTCAAAAATACTTACAGCAATAGGAGCTGGATTGCTAGGGACTTTTACAGCCCATGCTTCCCCTGCTAAAAATGAAGGTAGACCTTCTGCAGGTATACTAATACCAGGAAACATCAAATCTGCACCACCAATCACAAAACGAGACACCTCACCACCCTTGAGAATGAAAGCCGGTAAGAGTTCAGGAACCTTCCAGAGTGCATACACTGCAAAAAATGAAAGACATAAGCTAAATAATGCATGCAAAAACAACATTGTATTACAAATAAATTAGGCAAGCACAAGAATTAGTGTAGCCTGTACATCGTCAAGCATTCTTTACAACCATCGGAAACCAAACCTAACTCTTCACATGCTTTCTGTGCAAATAACATACCATCAACAAGGAAGCACAACAATTAAACAATTTAAACATGCAACAAGACATAATCTCCCCACCCAAGGGCCGGATCTTCTAATTCAACCACAGAAGCAAGTTTTGTCTTTATAAGTACAAATAGCACAATACAATGAAAATTATTTAGGATGTTTTGCATCTACTCCCCATGCCTTAGTTGTTTTTATATTCCCCCCTAAAAAGGCCATTACCCAATGTTGGTCAGTCCCAGCTATCTGGAGTCTTGGGAGGGGTAGACTGGATACAATCCAAACCTCTGCATTTTTATTTGCACAAAGTGACCACTCACAGAGTCAAACTTTTAGATTCCTGTCTATGTTTTCTCATTTTACATTTCTCACCTTTTTTACAGATTGACTGCATTCATGCCCCTTCTGGTACAAGCAACCCAAGACCATTAATTCAACTAACCTTTCAATCTCTCAAATTAAAAATGGAATCCATTATTTTTTCACCAATTTGAAACTAGGTGTACCTCTTCCATTACCTTGTTCAACAATCCATAACAGATGATAGATTGAGGAGGATGTTTTTCATACAGTTAGAGAAGGATAGGCAAAACGGTGCATTTGGAGTCTCATGTGATAGGTGAATGGCACTTTGGACAAAAGGAAAATTCAATAAAATAGTTGTAAAGCCAGCTATGTTGTATGGAGCAGAGTGTTGGGAAGTTCAGAAATAGCATGTCCAAAAAATGAGTGTGGCAGAAATATGAATTCTTAGATGGATGAGTGGTAAAACTAGAAAGGACAAGGTCAAAAATGAAATCATATGAAGTCATAACAAGGAACCTAGGAGTAGCTCCATTAGGTGATAAAATCAAAGAAAGTACACTAAGATGGTTTGGTCACATGCATAAAAGACCACCGAGGCATCTACAGCACCTGTTGGAAGAAATGATCTGTTACAAGTTGAAGGGGCTGAAAGAACTGGGGGGAGACCGAAAAGGACTAGTAAGAAATGATTTAAGTGCCCATAATTTTGAGATTTCAAAATTAAAACAAAACTAAGACAACTACTTTTAGTCCTTTTCCTTTAAAAAATTTGGGTGAGATCATGGCAGTTTTGTCTCTTCAAGCTTTGAACCAATGGTTTTATGTTGCTTTTAATGGCAGGGGCTGGATGCAGTTTATCAGTAAAAATAGGGGGATCAATGCAAAAATATAGGGAAAATATACAAAATTACTAAAGCCTGGAGGCACAGATGCAAGAATAATAGGGAGAGACCATGGAATAACATATCTAATACCAGATTAAAAAATTCATATTGTAAGCATGCCCAAAGAAAAGGTATGAGAAACAAGAACCAGGATGGAATTTGACAAAGAACTGGGATTAGCATATCGAACATGCTGGCTGACTCTTTGGCAAGAGCAGGGGTTGGAAGAGACTGTCTAAATTGTTTTTGCCCTGGGCCAGGACATAATATGTAAAAGATGTTTCACTTTTTCTTTTTCTTTTAGGTTGACCATATGATGACCTAGATTGTATGATTTGGCTTACTTCCTAGCTTATTGGGGCAGTATGCTGTTTTTTCTAATGGAATATATTCTGTTAATTATCAAAAAAAGAACCAGGATGAAATTTGACAAGTGAAAAAAAAAAGTCTATACTGTTCAATACATATTTCAATACCTGTGGGAAATATTTCATTGCCTCGCCCATCAACATCAAAAAGCATTGGAAATCCACCTTCTACACCATATACAAGTACCCGGTTTGGGAACTTTGCAACTGTTATCTCCACCTAAAGCACGAATCCATGATAGGAAGGATCAGTCTATAATCAATTCATAAATGAAGTATGGTCATCAGCAAGACCAGTCTAAGAAGAACATCATATGGTTTGAATTAAAACTCAAGCATCAAACCATATGGCATTCCCCTTAAAGTGAAAATGAATGTCAATATTTCTCCTTAAATATCTAAATCATATAAGAGTTTTCTTTCTTTTTGAAATAGGAATGAAACAAGATGACCCTAAAAATTCCACAATAAAAAATAACAAGTTCAAGTTAAAACATTTGATGGTACGAAGCATAAACAAATGATCCCGCATATTTTACCCTTCAGATCTCATTTCTTCTTTTTTTTTTTTTTGATAGGAAACGGTAACTTTCATTAACTAAAAAACCAGAAATACAACTGTCACCTACAAGTGTAAGGTGACCCCTGAACATAATTCAAATTACAAAAACTCCTGATTCACCCCTTGCTTTGCTAGGTTGTCAGCTAAAGCATTTGCTGACCTCCTAGTTCAAACAACTTGAGCATCCAGCTCTCTTTTAAGGCTCAACAATCCCTTACAGGTTGTCTAAGGGACCAAGTTCCCAAGCTGTTTGATTGCAGCCAACCTACTACTAATTTTGAGTCCCCTTCTACCTTTTATTGGCCTACAAAAATAGGGAGAATTATGTGGAGATGTGCTCGTGCTGCCTTGACTTGGACTCTTTGGGAAGAAAGGAATCTCAGAAATTTTCAAGATAAGGAAAGGAACAGCCAAGATTTGAAAGACTATGTGTTAAACAGGGCAACACATTGGCTGAAGACCTTGGAAATCTTTCATCAATTCTCCTTTAATGACATTTGGAGAAATTGGTCAGCAGTAACAAAGTGTTCATCTCTAAAGGACAAATCAATTACAAGCTAGTCTCCTCCACCCGAAGGCTCAATAAAGTTGAACKTTGATGGAAGCAGCATGGGTAATCCAGGATTATCCGGAGTGGGGGGTGCTTTGAGAAATGAGAAGGGAGAGATTTTGTTGCTCTACTCAGGTCCYTTGGGAATTGGRAATTCCATCAGGGCAGAACTTTTAGCTGCTGTACAAGGGGTCCAATTTGCAAACCAGCTGAGGGTACAACACCTAATAATCGAGGGGGATTCCAAAGTGG